CGAGCTCAAGTAGCTTTACCTTAGCCGCTTCAAGTGCCCCGTACAGAAGCCAGCCGCGTAGTTGCAAAAGTGAGGATGTGTCAATCTTTGGCTGTGCGATGAGTAACAGGCTAGACATGCAGGGCAGATGGCCTCGGGGGACACCGGGATGGAAATTTTGATTTTTGTTAAAGAGTGGCTAGCTGTTCAGTGAGTTTCACAATCTCAGCCATCAGGTATGAGAGAAAAGAAACAGGAGGAAGAGCAGAAGTTGGAAGTGCGGTAGCTGGTAGTTTAGCAAAGCCATGAATCTCCATCAACGGTTCGCCCATTTGGGTGAGTTGTGCAGCAGTAAACGAGCCAGAAACAGGCGCCAAGATGTGCTGAATTGCTGTCGGAAAGCTGTCCATTGTCAAAACCCGACTTTATTTGGAAGAATAAGGTGTTCGTCGGGGTCACCAGTTATCGAGAGCTAGTTGCTGTCTCGACACCAGAAGGATCCCCAAATCACAAGCCAGGGAATATAGAATGAATTGGAACAACTTTACTGAGCTCAAGTAGCTTTACGGTAGCCGCTGCAGGCGCCACGTAGGTGCAAAAGTGAGGATGTGTCAATTTTTGGCTGTGGGATGAGTAATCTGTCGGCTGCCGTCAATCACGTGAGGCGGAAGTATCGATTACCTTCGAGCGTACGCGCAGTGATTTGACAGCGAGCATATGAAAGGACAACAGCACGCAGTGAGCGAGGCTTGGCGAACGAAGACAGCGTGAGTCAGTACAGTTAACTGGGCGACAGACTCCCACAAGCTAATACCGCATATTACATGCACTTACAATGTTTCTTTGGTGCTAAGCCTATTGAAAAAGTTCTATGTTTATTATCACTTCAGCTGGTGTTCGAGTTGCCTGTAAAGTTTCACAATTTTTTCCTAATGGCCTACTTTACAGACCTTTGCGTGGTTTTCGTTTCTTTTCGTAAAGGAAGATGCGACTGATTATTTTAGAAGCCTGCTTGAACGTTATTCCCGTTATATTTACATATGGAGTAAAGCAGGCTAGTGCTTCCAGATCCATATTAATGGCTCGTAACTTTACGGAAGTACAAATGCCAGCATTTAAACGCACAGTGTCCGTCGAACTTAGGCAGCTTACTGAACGTTCAAAGTACATGCATGTCAGACATATGCATTTTCCATTTTAGGATATCTTTGTTAAAGTCTTATTTGACGTTTAATTAAAACCAGTTGATTCCACATATGTATTACATGTCCTCGAAAAAATGATAGGTATCATTGCCTTAGAGCTGCCTAGATAGTCAGCACGGCATTTGTGATTTGCACAATTCTCAAAGGAAGCGCTCTATTTCCCGGACGATCTTATAGAAGTGGTTTTTTTCGCTAAACCATATGCTCAGGAGTCGCACGTAGAAGTATGAACCACTTATCGCGGGTTGGTTCATGCTAAATTCCCGAGGTTACCTAGTCTCATGTCTTAACTCTAATCCTACCCCGTCATACTCTGACCTCGAAGAAAGTCTACCCCTAACCTCCTTGGAATTTAGCATGGAGGAGTCCATAGACCCGTGGCCTACCTCCGGAACGTTCATGCGTGTTTTATGAACTTTCATCCTATTAGGACTAAGTGGTGCAAGGTGTGTAAACCTTCTTTCCCGTAATATAAGTACGGTTTCAGGGATCCGTAAACTGCAAGGAAAAACATTTTCTACTAGAATTTGGTTTGAACAAGCTGAACTAGACAGCAACTCAGAAGAATCGTTTTTGTGCGGTAAATGCCTAGACCTCATGAGATCCTGCTAAAAAGAACATGTCTGCTTAAGGAATAATTTAAACGGGGCATTTCGGTTTGAGGTCTGCCTATAAGGTGCCTTCTTAAGTCTCAATTGTCTTCAATCTCTTTTCAGGTCTACGTCAAGGCAGAAGAGTTGCCTTATGGAAAACTCGATAAGTTGAATAAAACTGACCGTCCTGAATACTGGAACTCCTACAACGCAAGTCGGTATCCCAGGTGCGTTGGCCTATCAGGGAAGTCTCAAATGAATCATAAAGCAGGGTATTTAGGCGTAATTTTTTGCCGTGTTGCTTGTAACTTCTACGTTATTTACGAGCTTGGACCTAAAGCACATTCAGCAATATTTTTGAACAAGATTACTAGCAGTCGGTACTTATATTAATTACTATGTAACGTACTATGAAAGTTGGTCGTTGAATCTGTCCTACGACGACCTGTTTATTTTCAACAGTGATGACCCTCTTTGACATTTTCGCTGCCGTCGGAGGATACTTAACGCAATAAGATACTGCTTTCTGCATGAGGCTAATGAAAAGGTTTACGGTCTTTAATCATACTGTAAAAAGCTGACCTTTCTTATAGCTTAATTCACGAGAAATCCATGACCTGCTTATAATTTTATGACACGATACGCACCCCAGGGTGG